ATTCATCAACAAAACATCATAGTGAGCATCATTATTTGCCATAACAAATGTATGTTTAAGCAAAATTTTTCATCAACTTCCAGCTTATAAGGTATCAATATCTATTTTCTGCTTAACCCACTTACGACAGGTGTCACATATATGAGAGACCCGGAAAAGTAAACATTACTGGGCATCCCGCTAGTGCGATGCTAGATCAGAGATTGTGCTCTGATTTTGTCGCCTGTGACAGGCAGCATGCGGGAATGTTCCCGGACTCGTCTACGCACTGATTTTGAAGCCATGTAATGTTGCTAATGGGTTAAGTTATCAATACAGATTTTTCAGTTTGTGTATCAATACATTCCCATGTACAACTAGACAACACATACCTCAAAGAATCCATCTTCAGTGTTAATTTTTTCCCCTTTGAAGACTGGAAGCACATCATGTTCAATTGGTTTCAGTCCCTGAGTGGCATTCATAGCATTCTGCATGGCTTCTGTCACTTCTTTTATTTTGCCATAACAATTTGCTGGGGAGGTAATCATAATATAAGCTTTCAAAGAATACTCTATCTAAAATGATTATGTTTCATATTGTTTATACATAAATAGCTCCAAAAAGCTAATTACTAGCTTGTCTGATCTCACCAGTTTACCCACCTCCTTATAATTTCATGAAATATGTGTATTTCTAAAATTCATATTACTATCATAATTGTCATCAATGTAATTATCCTTTTTTCATTGTCATTATTATAACATAATACATAACAATAATGATAATTTTTTTTCCATAAAAGTTTAAGGAATGGAGTAAACAGATGAGGTCAGGTATGCCTAGTAATTAACTCCTTCATGAATAAGCAATATCAATAAAATAAAACTGCAGTGGGCAGGTCATTTAAATATGATAGCATTACTGGATTAAATGCAGAACAAAGGCAAAATCCCTGTGTACTAGTAATAAAAGTTATATAAATAGAAACTAACCACAAAGAAAATAAAAAAAGAAAGAGAGAGAGAAAAACACCTGTTATAAAAATCTTTATACATAACCAAATAAATGCAGGTAAATTTACCTAGAATACATATTGCTAAATATTCATCCATATTTTAAAAACTTTTGTCCTGGAACTTCACTATATACACAAACAGAATTCAAACTTTGAAAAGGAGGCATGTAAACTTACGACACAGACGGCCAGGTTCATGAACATGGCCACAGTTGTTACAAGTGAGCAATTTCAATACTGGCAGCATTTTTTTGTGGCCCGTTTCTGAACCAAACTTCCTTGTCAACCTCTTCTCTCTACTTCTGCGATTCTTGGGCACAGCCCACAAGATGCTATCACCAATCAAGTCTTCAAACGGACTCTGGCTGATTGAAATGGCCTGTTGGTGTGGTACGTACTCCACACACACCATAGCTACACTGGGGGGAGGCCCTGAAAAGGGAAGAACTTGGTAGTGGCTTTGCAGTCTCCATTAGGCTTCATTTTTAACTTCTTTTATTCTCCTTCATATCAGTATCTATATGTTTGATGATTTTCACCACATACGGGGTGCAATATACAGTGTAAGATGGAATAATGCCATACCGCATTGATATCATGAATATATAACCTCTCCAAAAAGGATTCGAACCCCCACCGCCATTGCAAGGAACTTTTAAAACGATCACTCTAACCACTGATACATGACCCACTAAAAGGAGTGTGCAACTAGGAACTATCCAGCATTACCTACCTACTCATACATCAATAAGCATAGCGAAGTTTTACACACACTCCCTATGGGCACTTGGTATATATAGAAAGAGCAGTTCAAATCCCAAATCAGAAATCCTGAGGTGTATTCAATGAAAGATGGAATAATGCCATACCGCATTGATATCAGGAATATATAGGTAATCCTTATGGATGCCAGATAGCTCCTAGTTGCACACTCCTTTTAGTGGTTAGAGTAAACGTCTTGCAAGTTCCTTGCAATGGCAGTGGGGGTTCGAATCACTATCGCTGAGGTTATAAGAGATAATAGAAGTCCATATATTATATCTTAAGTTCACAAGACTGAACATTTAGAAACAATAAATTCCCACAAAACTAAGAGGAAATTCTAAAATCCATCTAGACAAGGTTTTAGGTATTGAGTATATGTGGTATTTTTTAAAAACTAGTTTGGTTAATGGATAAAGTGCAAAATATAAAACTTTTTCAACAACTCGTTAAAAATAACTTTGTTGTTTATTATCAAAATGATATGAAATTTGGTGGTGTTTATCACCATATATGTATATATAATATATTTTAAAAATTGTGAAAATCCGATCATAAATGCTGAACTTCTTTCTCGAGCACGACGGCCCCCTTAAGTTTCTGGATGTGACTAAATAACACAGCATATTTGATAGGAAGAAAATTCTTTAAGCATAAATTGCAATAAAGTCCTAACAATCTGTCAAGATCCCCTTTTCAAATTTCATTAAGAAGAAGAAGAAGAAGAAGAAGAAGAAGAAGAAGAAGAAGAAGAAGAAAAAAAAAAAACAAAAAAAAAAAAACTTATGATTGTAAAGAATTAGGTTATCACATGCATCACATTAAAGAATCTTTTATAATCTTAAGGTATATATTTTCATATGATATGATAATCCTACCTTTTGTTATATTCTATCATTACTAATACTCATGTATACTTGAATTTATATATATATATATATATATATATATATATATATTATATATATATATATATATATATATATATATAAATTACCTCTATAATAGGGCATGAACAAGCTGAATTTAGACTTTGAAAGGTTAATAAACTAGTCATCATGTAAGAGCAAACTAGGAGCTATTCACTCTCACTCGCCCAGTAATAACCCGAGTGTTTCATTATCCATTCCACCACGAATGTATATAACAGGTAACATCAATATTTTCTTTGAAACAAGAACAAAGGATAAAGAAAAAACAGTGAGGATAAAAAACTATCACTAGACTAACATGACCAAAGTACCATAACTTGAATTACCAACTGCTCCATATGATCTCCACTACAAGACTCATTACATGACAGTAAAGGAGTTAGTTGCTTCAGGTAAAATTTATTATACTAACCTTTAGTTTTTATCTTATATTCTAAGCCTTTCCAAGCATAACACAATAAAATGTAACAGTTTAGCAGCAGCATTACAAACCAAATCAACCTAACATCAATGGGAAGATGTAGTGTTCACTGTAGTATGTTTTGATAAATGTCTCTGCACATAAATAGCTTTACAATTGCTCAGCTATTAAAGAGTCAATTACTAGACCTTGTGATCTCACTTAGTTTCACCTTTCCTTGAGTTTGTGGGAAAAACAATTTTTATACTAATGCTATCAATATCAACATTGTTATTATTACTATAAACATTGTAATCATTATAGAATTATTGATATCAAAAAATATTTCTAAAAGATATCAAAAAATATTTCTGAAAATCAAGGAAAAGGGTGAACAGGTGAGATATGAAGTACCCATGATTGGCTCATTGCTGCCCTAGTACTTGTGAAGCCATCTATGTGTAAAGACAATTGATAGAATAAGCTCACAGTGGACATGGCGAGTATGTAAATGCCATCCCTGGTGGCTTCAGAGTAACATACACTCAAAACAATTAGATTAACAATAATTGTTTTAACTACCAGGACAATAATTTGTCCCAGATGCACTATACAAATGTCAAATTATCAAGGAAAAAATATTTCACGTTTAAATATTAGAAAATAAAATGACAGGCGTTATGAATCACTTGTTCTGAAAGCAGTTTTTATCAGTTGTTATGAATCACCTGTTATAACAGATTATTCCTTTGGGTTGTAATTTTGCAGCTAAAGTATTTAAAATTTTCCATCTATGACAACATGATTTTCACTGACAATATGAAATATATTTCATGTAGTCTGAAGTGATTAGAATAAATCTAGTAATAATTTTCTTTGCAAATTCTTGGTCTTCTAAGTCAGTAACTACACCCCTCTCCTAATCCAAATGGCTTGAAGAACAAGTTGGAAAGCTGGGCTTTGGCTTGGTGGGGCCAAACCTTATATCAGGTATTTAATTTCTGCTGAATATAAAAAATGTAATTACAGAAGCTGTTACACTTTGTAGCATGTAGATTCCAGTTAGTTACTCTGAGTCACACAAGATGAGGTTACTTGGTCTATGTCAGAGGAGGTAGGTGCAGAAGCATTCTTATCATCAGAGATATCTCAATTATAGTTCAGGTAAACCTTGGTATTTTTGGAAATGATACAGACACTGAAAGTGAAGAATCTGACCATACCATCTAATAGAACATACTGTTTTGTTAGCTTTCTTTAATACCATTATATTTGCAAAAAATAATACAGGTAGTAGAGAGTCATAAATATAAGCTCCATGACATCTATTTACCACATTTCCCACCAACAAAGACAGGGAAGATTCCCAATGACCCACAAGCTGGCCTAGCTGGAATTATTACTAATGCAACAGTAATACCGGGTATCTATGGCTGGGGATCCATGGGCAGTCACTCTGACTGTCTGTCAGGTACAGGATGGGATTGGTCACACTATTCATAATGTCCTCCCATAGAGAAACCTCGTCCCAGAAAAGACCTTAATGTCTATACTAACCTCCTATACGAACTAAGCATTGCGGATTCTTTGAATATTATGCAACACATAGTATGCATTTACAGGAAAATGTAATGACATTATTATAAAGAAAGGAAAAAACTAAACTCACTGATATATGTAGTAACTAGTGCTGGCAAGAACAATAATAGAAATGAAGAAAATTGGTTGTAAAAAATGCAATGCTGTGATTAAGTCCATGGTGATTGGGTGGGTTTCCAAGGCAGAGCTCCTGATTGGGAAATACGGCAATTGGGTGGGGATTTGGGGGCTCATATGGCAATGTTTTGATTCCCAAAAGTGGCTGGAGTAATAGAAATAGAGACTGGGGGGTGATGCCACTTCTTAAACTATTAGCAATATTTTCTCTAATATAATTTGCAATGGAAAATAACATGAGGCTAATCTTTTTGGTGGTGAATAAAGGGCATGCCTAGTCATGGCAACATAGATTATTGAATAAATCTTTTAACTTGTAGTTGGGGATTTGCACTCTAGCAAGTGCAACCTTACTAACAAGAAATTCACATATATTACATGAAGATAGTGGTATTTATGGATTCACTCTCTTTCTCTCTCTCTCCTACCCACATCTATAAGACAATTGCCACAGAAACCTCACTCCTATTCTTGAGAGGGTATGAAAAGTACCAGGTAAACTGTGGGGTAAGATATGAGTAATATACACAAAATATGATACTGTAATAACACAAACACAGAACAACTTACTATATTGTCTAATGGCTGTCATCCCCCAACTCCCACCCTAAAATGTTAAAAATCCTCCTCGTATTCATAGCAGGATATAATGGACAAACATCACACATGGTGAAGACAGTAAGATACAGACTATGAATGATAACTTATTAACCTGATGGATGAATGATGATGATCTGTAATACCCCACATTCTATTCAGGCTACATTCCTATACCCATGTGATTCTCTATTGCATCATCCTGCTGTACATATATGGTGGATTCTTTAAGGTCTATGGAGATGTTTAATGTTTAATGTTTAATATTTGAAGCAAATAAATATGCTAGACATCATAGATCATCTAGCACTATGGTAAAGTATTGTGTCAGAAAGGGCAAGGAAAAGTTAAAGACTATGATAAAACGTGTTAGATGTCAAAGATTTGAGAGCGTTATAGGATAATATGGTAGTGAAAAGAGGGGAGTAAGTGGATTAGAACAGAGATTAGTAGAAAGGGGAGGGTTAAGGAGGTAGGGCGATTGAGTGAATTATAGTGTATAGAAGTATAGAATTATATGTCACAGGGGAAGGTATAGGAAAAATGTTCAAGGAAAAATAAATGGCTGTTGGAAAAGTAGGAGAATATCTGGGGAGAGGGGAAGGTACTAGATAGCAAAGATTAGAGGGTGTTATTTTTTTATTTTTTTATTTTTTTTTGCTATGATTTATTAAAGTATAATTTTGAAGGGTTACCTTCATTAAAGGTGCCATTGCCTAAGATTTTTACCATATAAATGAAGCCGCTACTATTGGAGACAAACAAACTCCGTCCGACGAGCTAGTGGCGCGGGAATGGGCATGATACGATGCCATCTGTTTTTTGGTCCACAACAGCCATGGCATGTAGGTACATGCCACCCGTATGCTATGGGTTAAGGGAGTAGGGTGATTGAGTGAACTGTATTGTATCTGTGAATGGGGAAGGAGTAAGGATATTGTTCAAGGAAAACAGAGGTGGCTGTTGGAGAAGTAGGAGAAGAATAATTTGGGGGATCAGAAATGGGGACTGGAGAAGGTGGTGAAGTATCAGGAAATATGTCTGGAAGGGAGGGATCTGGAGAAGGACATTGTTATGATAGAGAGGATTCATGTGAATATTCAAGTGGGTGTGGTAGAGACAGGTAGGATGGAAGGAACTTCAGGAGGAGGAGGATAGATATCTGCAAATACTTTAACCTATTACCGCTGGTATATTTTGCGGCTGAAAATAAAAGTTTCTGGGCGGCTACAAAATCGGCACTCGGGGCTGGCCCGGACTCTGTCTGCGCACAGGCTGTGGCCCGCTGCTGAGTCGGAGCGCCACAATGGTGGGACACCCGGCAATTTTTTTTTTCTGGGTGTCTCAGACTGTTTGACCCCCATAATTTCCCTGATATACTTCATGCCCTCACCTGCTAACGGGACTAACAAATCAAGATTGTCGATGGAGAAATGCTACTCCATCTCTTGAATGATTAATTTGCAGAAGAAACAATGTTGAGAATCTATGAAATCATTGGATTACCTACAGAAAAACATAATTTTTCTCAACTTAGCCTCTGGGAGGGTGCTATTGGTGACAATTACCCATTTTCCGTTTAAAAGAAGGTGACTTGAAACTGGACCTGTATCCATATTTGCATTGTAGATGGTGATAGGAATCCAATGATACCAATCGCAATCTGATAGGCAGGAACATTTTTACTAATTACCTTTTGTAAATATCATTTATATTTACCCCAGCAATTTCTCTGGTACCTTAAATGATCTCTGCTATTGTGACCAGAATTATGGTTATTGGGGGAGGGGGGGAATTTCTGCTGCATAATATCTATAGGAAAGGGTGGGCGAGGAACCCATCCACCAGACTGTAAAGTATTTTTCTTGCGTGGGGATTATCATATTTTTTTTCATGCATGAAAACTATCATTTTGTCTAAATTTATACGGACAGATGATGAAACAAGCATGCCGAAAGGTCAAAAGAATTTTATGCAAAGATGATGATTTAAAAAAGAACTAAGCATGGGTGGAAAGTTACCCGAGAACTACATTTGCGCAGACAGAATCTGACCAAATGTTTTTTGTGCAGGGAGCATACCAAACTCTACAGTCTGGCCCATCCATACCACAGTTGTCCAGATCCTCTAAACATGATATTCCAATAATAATAAGGTTGGATGGCAGTGTTAAACTGGTAATTTTCTATATTACGTCCGCATAACCGATATCGACAATTTTGGTATCGTTGGATTCCTCTCACTCTATACAATGCAAATATGTAGGTTTTAATGTGCGGAAACTTGGCCCTGATAGCGGGGGCAACGATGTCCGAGCGGCGGACGTAATATATAAATTACCCTAATAATATAACCTCACAGTGAAAATAATCATGGTTATTCACATGACTTTGCATTGCAGGGGGCTGTGGCCCCTGCGACCTCCCCTGGGGGGTCTCAGGAAACAAAAGATCCACCACATATTCACGGCAGGATAGAGCGCACACGAACTAGATGCGGAGGCTGTGGCAAAAGCACATCTCTAGCATTTTTTCCTGGCTAGTTGCAATTTCGCACAGAAATTCCGTCTCCGAATACGAGCACCCTCCACTGACTGACTTCTGAACGCGACGGTTATTTCAGTTAGGAATACGGATGTCATTATTCCAGAGGACGGGAAACTCAACCTTGAGGCCATCGAAAGGGACGCAAAACCCGCCGACGAAGGCGGGCCACCCTGTTCGTCCTGATTATACTACAATTGTCTCTATATACAATGCTGACTATGCCAAGGTTAATATGCTGATTTAGTGGGAATCTTACGAGGTAATTGTAATATTACGCCCGCCACTCCGACATCGACGATGATTGCTAGGAATACGTGGTAGAGGTTTTGTTTCCTTGATGGGGGTTGGGGGCCGCAGCCCCCCCCAGGGGGGTTGCAGGTCGCAATGGAAAGTTATGTGAATAACCATGTTTTTTTTCACTGTGCGTTATAATATTATGGCTATTTAACCCTGTATTTTCCTTGGAACCTGTCATGCCCTCCCCTGCTATCGGGGCCAAGTTTGTCGCTAACGGAGGGTTTCCGCTCAATAAAAACTATAAATCTGCAATGTGGAGAGTGAGAGGAATCCAACGATACCAAAATCGTCGATATCGGTTATACGGACGTAATATAGAAAATTACCAAACTTACCGTTAAAGTAAATACCAATACAAGTCAAATGTGGATTTTGGGGGGGGTTAACAACTGTTAACCAATGCACACAATTAATGATTATTTATTATACAAATTCATGAGCCAAAGTATATCCATGAGGATTTTTGTAGGTAGTCTTTCCATTATTATGAAAAAGAAACTCTGTCAAATATCATTTTTAAGTTGCCTTACCATGTGAAAACACACTGCTTATCAACCTGTCGAGGGTTCTCTCTGCCAACGAGAAGTTTTCTTGTAAGAATCTCAACACTTTCGACATGTTTACTGTCTTCTCCGGCACCAGGGTTCAGACACAAATGTGTTAGGTACTCGCGATTCAGAATTCCTTATTCGAAGTATGCCTTGTGCTGATATTAAATATTTTTACACCTATTTTGTCGTCGAAAAATTAATGCGACTATATTTACCATACGGATGGAAATAATGAAATATGACTGGTTGGTTGAGGTTAATAATCTTAAATACAAAGCCCCAGACGTTACATTTCATTTGTATGTTTAAGATTTTTACATTTTCATAAAGTTTACACAATTAAATTTTTATGTATAAAAATATATAATCCTAATATGATGCTCAAACTTTAATCATATTTTTTACGAAAAAATCCTTAATAGTTTCTTAACCCTGCTTCCGTCGTAACCATACACCTTTTGATATTTACATTTGTTTCCATTCAAATGATTATAGTATTCTTTATTCCTGATTTTTTACTCAGTATTCGGCCAAATGAGTAACATATGGAAAAATTACATCGTTGAATTTTCACGGATCATTTGTAAAGCTGCTTTCCCTCTGCCGACTGCCGAGAGGACTCGTCCGCTGTTGGCAACTTGGCAGTGTCGTGCGGGTCGCCGTCAGAGTAAGGCATATTAGTTACGTCGCTCTGTTGTTGTGAGTCCTTGTAAGCCATGACCAGCTCAATGCGGGGCCCCGCAGCTCGTCTGCTGGATACGATCTTAAACCGTACATCGGTACACGCAACCACAAGGAATATATATCGTTCATATAGTGGATATGTGATGTGTGGACTTAAGCGAGGATATGACACATCGAGATTGGCTTCTATGATGGTAAGTAAAGTTATTTTAGGACGAGACATTTTGCCGGGAATAAGTGCGAGGATCGGGGCCCCCGAAGAGGGATAATGGAGCCGGTGAGGTTGTCTGCCGCTTTACACAAGGCTAATTCCTTATTTAAGAGGGGAATTAAAAGCTTTAGATGTAGAAATTGTGTCTTGTTTACTCTTTGACGTCTGTAGTTAACAGTGGTTAGTGTTACATCGGGATACGAAAGAAAACTAACGAATAGCGAGGGTGTTTCGTTGGTTACTCAACGCAATCAGCTGATAGACCTTATGAAATGGGCAGACGATGCTTAGCGCTTTGAGCATTTCACGGAGTCACTAAATTATAGCTAGTCTATTTGAACTATTTTTGACCTTCTTTCTTGGTTCTTTTTATTGAAACGGGTTTAATTTAACATCCTAAATACGTATGAATAAGATCAAGGTGAGTGGGCATGCTGTGACGTTGTAAACGCCGTTTGGGTACGGGGACTTCTCCAGAGCCATTCATCAGTCGAAAATTAATCTATTTTTGACTGCACGAATTCCAACAGTACAACTGTAGACTATCTTTTACGATCTCTCATGCTAACGAGAATATTTTCTGTTAGTATAAGAGGTATGGACTAATCAAAATCACTAATGCGTCTGTAGATGAACGACAATATCTCATTGCTCTAATTTTTCTGATTGTTTGTAGTGCTTTATCGTGTTCCTGTTTGTTATTCTTTTGTGCATCATTTTGATTTCCGCGTAATATTATAACAAGTATAATTTCTGTCATAACTGCATACAATTCAAGATTTATTTATAATTTCATTTTTATCAGGAACTTGTTTGAAGCCATCTAGCTGTTTCGGTTTCACCGATCAGTTGGTTCTTTACCCATTTTCGTTGTCCATTTAGTCTTAAATACTTAAGTTTGGCACAGAACAGAAGCACTGCCCTGTGCGCATGGCCACTACACATTAATGTATTCCTACGTGTGATGCAACCGTGTTAGGTAACGGGCGTAGCAGCAATCTTGGTTTAGCTGTCTAATATTAGTGTGAATGTTAATGTGAATAAGATTAATTCAATACATGTGATCTGGATTCCATTTGTCTGTGTTATGTCAGTCGAAGAAAAGAAGGATGTGTATTGTTGTGCTCTTCCAATACCCCACAGTCTCCCCTCGGCAACCCACCTCTCCCCTCAGCTCTCCTTCCATAGACTTTCCATTACGTAGGATACCCTTTCGTGTGTGAATATCCTTTCTCGAGTTTCTAGCCATGTGTGTCTACTTTAGATAATTGCATTATTTTACGGTTCGTTTATTTGTTTGTTTGTTAATAGGTTACGTACTGATCTATACTTCTAATAACCGCGTGCAAAGTTTGCTTTGTAAAACACTCACGAGAATCTAGAAATAGCTTTCATGACGTGACTGTATCGCATGACAGAATACAGAAAAGTTCTGACCACGTGCCGGAAAAGCATCAAGGGGTTGATTCTCTCGGTATTTTTAATCACAAATTTGCGATGAATAGTTTTTATTTTCGAGATAGTCTTCTAATATCTCATTAATTGATTATTTTCAGATTTCCATGTTCTCTGAAATAAACTCTCTTTTTTATATGAAATACCGCTCTAACAGATGCACGTAAAAAAAGAAAAAATAGATACGTAAAAACTAACAATTGGTAACAACAGGGAAGAGAAATATGGCTTAAATGGTTGTCAGTCGTTATCTGACTGGACGACTCTATAAAGAAATCTGTTCTAG